ATCGAGGCGGTCACGCATCTCGCCCACCGTCACTTCCACTCTTGAAAGCCTAGCATCCAGCCTAGGGATTAAGTCTCGTGAGGCAGATTTAGCCCTTCGACTAGAACGCGTTTCCCTTACCTCGAGGGTTTCTTCCGGCATGCTTGATCCGCTAGTAGTCATTTCTTCCTTCCAATCACCTCCTACTCGTTTGGGAATTTTGACGAGCACCTGGATCGCAAACTGCTCTGATACCAACTGTCACGGGACGGTTCTTCAGACCACCCACCGTGCGGCCTTGGGTTCAACCCTTATCTCGGTACTGGAACCCAAGTCAGCCTTAGTGTTCAACACCCGCCCAACAAGCACTTAGCACACCCACACGCAGCCCACTGCTTTCCGATCGGCCGGCACACTCACATGCCCACAATAGGCTTCAAGCCAACAAACCCACTCGCATAAAAGGGAAAGGAAAAAAAGAGAAGAGAATGTTGGAAAAAGAAAAGCTGAACTTCTATTGAATGAATTACACAATCTACAAAGGGTTATTTATAGCCAATTTTTCCTCAAATATTTCCTTCCAAAATATTTTCCTCCAAAATATTTAAGAGGGAAGTTAAAATTCCAACAGCTCAATACATCAAAAGAGTGGGTCTGGTGGGCCGACACCATCCTGGGCCCCGCACAGGCTGTGTGCCTGGGCGCTGGAGGGCTAGTGCGCAGGGGCGGTGGGCAGGCAGTCTGTTTGGGCACTGTGCGGGCCTGCGTGCTGCACCTCTGTCGTGCCATCCTGCGTTCTACACACCCCTGCTAGGTCGGCAGGCCCCGGGCCTGCGTGCTGCTCGCCCATGCTGTGCGCGCCTGCGTACCGCGCACCCCTGCTGGGCCCCGGGCTTGCTTATCGTGCGCCCATGCTGTGCGCCCCCGCGTGCCGCGCACCCTTGCTGGGCCGGCAGCCCCGGCCCTGTGTGCCACGTACCCATGCTGTGCGGGTCGGCGTGCCGCTCACCCCTACTATGCGGGCTGGCGTGCCTGCACGCAGTTTGCTTGGCTCTGTGCGGGCTGGCTAGCCTAGGGGCCTGTGCTGTGCGCCCCTGCTAGCACCCTGCACTTGCCTTCCGCTATCGAGTGGGGTTCTCTCCCAGCAATACTCCCCCACAAACCGACACTCCGGAACACCCTCGGGCCACCTCTAATGCGCTGAGCTACGGTCCGTGACAAAGGGATCTTCTTGGCCATTGCATCCTTGGAAATCCAACTTTGTGAACTAGGGGATGATGGAGCCTCTCTGTGCGATTTTTGATCCTATCCCTCTTGCTACGCCTTTGCCCTTACGGTTTCGGTTGTTACTAGTCTCCTCTACAGATACGATATCAACTTTGGAAGCCATTAAATCCCTGGTAAGTTCATCCACTCGAGCATTTATTGCTTCTTGTTGGGCTGAATTGCTGCATGTTCATCTTGGAACAATTGTAAAAGTTGCTCCAATTGTTGCTGATTAGGGTCCCCCATAACATTAAGCTTTAATACCAAATTGTTACAGTCCCTTGATATGGATCGGTGTGTGGAATAGTTGGGTTTAGTTTGAGGTAAGCTGAGTATTTTGGTGAAAGGTTTCTTTTTTTGACCTATGTTTGTAATGTTGGCTTGTTAGAGAGAATCTACAGATCTCTTGAGGTTTAAGTACTCAAAACTTGAATAGATTCTGAGCAACCCTTTTTATTAACTTCACTGCCTTTTAAATCTAGCTTGGTGGAATAACCACCCTTAAAGCAAGGAAATAAAGTGGAAAAGTGGAAATACAACCTCCAACAACTTGAAATGGAAAACTACCACTAACAATAAAATAGGAACAACAATTAAACTGCCAGCAATCAATCAGATATGTTGACTTAGTCTATACTTCCCATGTGTGAATCGCTTGTAAACTAAGGGATTATTTGATGCACTAACATAGTGCTTTCGATATTGGTCCCCAGTCTACTGCACCTAGTGCTACAAACTATGATGCTACGGGTTATCTAGTTTCCAGCATCGACCCCACCTGTCGTACATAAATGCCTTGACTCTCTGTATGGATTTTAAAAAACTGTTTCATATATCACAAAAATTTCATGTTAGTATTTTCTAGCCATGTCATTAGTACGGGTTTTTAAGAGATGGGTGCCTGGACATTAGGAGAGATAAAATATTGATTAAATGAGGGGGGAAACTCTTTAGAGAACTTCTCATATAAGTTATTTTCTTGTCTAATCAAATTTTCAAGCTCTTTGATAATGCACAGGCAATGAAACATAAATGAATTTATGATTTTTCTTTCCATATTTCCTCTGTTGATCTGTCTTTTAATAGGTAACTCGCTCCATTGGTGATGATGATCTGAAGCCTGCTGTAACTGCAGAGCCTGAGATAACTGAAACTGTACTCTCATTGGAGGATGAGTTCCTGGTAAGAGCCATTGTCTTGGTGAATAGTTGTATATCATGGATGGTTGATCATAATTGGAGTTCTAATCTATAGCATTACGTTTCAGACAGATTTATTTGTAGATTGTACTTTAAAGAGCTTTATAAGTGTAATGCAAAACATATGACAGTAACAGAAAAGAACACTAGGGAAAAGCCATATTAAAACAATCTTCATTGTCCAGTATGCAAAAGAGAAATTTTTTAAAGATGTATGATAGAAACTTGCATCTGATTCTTTAGCGCATTCAGTATTTGTGATCATAATGCTAAATGTAAAACGACATTTGCAAATCTTTTTTTTCTTTGGTGTCATTAGAACTCTTTTGATAGGTTTACATCTCTAGTCACTAAATAAATGAATGTAGTATTTTCCACAAGATATCAAATCATTTTGTTGAAAGGTTTCTTACATGTCTATAGATCATGTGTAACTCTTTTGAGATTCCGCTAACACAACTAGAATTCCTGCCCATATATTTGTGTGCGTGTGCACGCGCATGTACCCATGCCTCTCTGTACTCAGTTTTACTTTTCAGAAGTTATTTGAATGTACTTGGTTTTACTTTCTGGACTCTGTGCCTAGTGACTAATAATGGATTCAGCTGTAAAATAAGATGGCTGTCAAAATCCCTGTGGTTCGTGGACTTGAAAAATTAACTTAAAATAGGGTTGATTGTCAGGTAATGGCTAGTGATGGACTCTGGGATGCTGTGAGCAACATGGAGGTCATAAGCATTATCAGGGATACAGTGAAAGAGCCGGCAATGTGCTCCAAAAGATTGGCAACGGAAGCTGCAGAACGTGGCAGTAAAGATAACATCACAGTCATTGTTGTCTTCCTTCGTCCAGTATCGACAGCAGAGAGAGTTTACTAGTGTTTCTACCTCCGAAATGGTGATGAATAGATTTATACAATCAATTCTTCTTAGATTCAGGATTAATTCATAAGGAGAAAATCTGTATTGCCATATCCCTCATTTCAAAGGAAGGAATGCTGTGTTGGTTAGAGCTAAAAATCTGCCTTCACAATTCGCACAATTTATCTCATATTTTTCTCCCACGTCAATTTTTAAGGTAAATAATGTCTTCTCCAGCAAAAAATAATGATCATAACACAAAATAATCAAAATTAGACATCAATTTTCAACTTCTTCTAAATTTTTGAAACCAATGTCAATCTGCTCATTTTTGGTCATTCTGTCCGTACAAGAATGTGCCAAAGGATGGAATCATCATCAAATCAATAATATAATCAAACTGAAGCAGCGGCAGACAATAAAGTTTGGGGTGGTGGAAGCAATGCTACAGCTCCTCGTTGAGAATTCGAGTACTTTCTGTATACAACCTGAAGCCTACTTTCTGCAGCCTTCGAATGGAAGAAAGCCAGCAGTCTAGCACATTCCATTAGCTGTGCTTCAGAGTATCCAGTGTGAAACTTTAGTGTGTCAGTCCAAGTTGGGGTCTTGTTCAGTGTGCAACGAGCAGCATACACTGCTGAGGCAGCAACCATTGATGGGCAGTACCTTGTGCTCTCGTAATGCATCATACATAACTCAGCCAGGAAATACACCATGTTTTCCATCTATACAACACAAACAGCAAATATATAAGCACGTATTCCAACACCAAAAAACAAATTTGTTGCTTCAGTAGGAAATTACTAGGAGAATGAACGCACTTTCTCATCATCAGGAATCGATGCCTTGATGAAGCGTGCTAGAAATACATAGGGTGTAGGCACTGTCAAAGTCCATTCCAACTTTCCCAGTATAGTTTTCTCCATAATCAGTATCTGTTCATGAGTGTAAGCTCTGTCTGCAATGCATGCTAGATCATTGACCTGCATTGTCACAGTCAGCCATTGATCTCTTATTTGACACATGAAATAACGAACAAGAAAATAAAAGCTTGTATATACGTATATACCCACCTCAGGGGGCCATATTTCTTCATATTTGGTGGCAATAAGCATTGCACTCATGCCCAGAAGTTGTAATTCCCTCCTTGGCACGATCTTCACTGAAAGGAACCGATCAATCAAATTGATAGTAAGATAGAGAGCTTCGGTAGAGAGCTCAAACTTTTGATGAACATCAACCAGCCAATCGATAAGAATTGCCCTCATCTTCTCATTAATGTCAGTTTGCAAGTGCATATAGTCATGTGGCCTGCTCTCATTCTGCATTCCCAAACGTTTCATAAATGTCAGCACGTAAAAATCATCATCGATTGATTTAGTGATACCATTATCATATACAGAATAGACAAGTATAATGTTGAATGTTGTTGGTGCATACCTCAACTGACTTATAGAACTTGTAAATGTCTTCAACATACTCCACCCCAGCCAAGTCGTTATTTGCATCTGCAGCATCAATATCAACAATCTCCTCCTTTGGCCTGTTAGAAATACCACAGGCCGCCTGCAATAATCAAATTAGAAGAAGACAAGAAGGTTACAATCACAAACAAGAAAAGATTACCCCTCAACCTCAAGCTTCAAGAATAATTGGTCAAAACATACAAAAAAACTCACCTTGCTTCTAGCAGTGAGGACTGAAGTAAGAGTATGTGCTTTCTTCTTGGATGGTCCCTCCCCCGCAGTTGCTTTCTTATCAATATTATTCACAGGAACCTTGTCTTTTTTCTCCTTCACCTGGACCGCATCTTCTGTATCCGGACTGATTTCAATCACTTCTGCAGGCTTGGGCTTTGCAGTTGGTTTCTTTTGAGCGGGCTTTGGTGCAGCAGCAGCCCTTTTAGGCACAGCGTTGTTTCCATCGGGAACAGGAGCCTTATCCACATTAACACAAACATTTTTCTGTATGTCAACGAGACCCGGATATTCAATATGTATCAACTATGGACAAAAATTTTTTTTTTTAAAAAAAGAGGAATTTCTTGTTCTTTTACATAATTTTCTGGTAAAGAAAGATGGTAGGAAACAACAAAGGAAGGGTTAGAAAGAATTTGATGCAAGAAAAAAATTTATACTTTATTGTTCTCAGCGGCTGCAGCAGCTTGTGCATTGGCAAGTAATTGTGCACAGAAAGACCTGGTGAGGGGACGATGAGGCTGAGGCTTGCCATCAGCCACTCCTCTAACATTTACCAGATTCCCAATATCCCCCAATGCACGGCGGCTCCTCCCATCCCCTGCGGCATTCTTCTTTGTCTGCTTATTAGCTGCTCCTCCTACAACGCCCTCGGCGCCTGCAACGTAGAACAATCATTGTTATTCCTCAAACAATTCAGTCCCTATCATTATACTGAATAGTGAAGATAAAGATAATGTTTGATACAGTTTCAACAGATTCCCCCAAAACTACTGTAAAATATGTTTTGACGCTGATAAAATACAACAAAAGAACTGCTTTCCTTGATGATATCTTTCAAGATAACCATAAAATCATTTGACAAAGCCCAACGGATTAATATTGAAGGAAAAAGAAAAGGAAAAGATGCATCAAATGGCATATATGTACAGGATTCCTCCAAAACAACAAAGAAGAAACACGAACAATCTTGGGAGATTGGAAAGAGAAGATCGATGCTAATATCAGTGATACCTCTGACTTGTTGTGGCACAATGGGTCTTGAAGCCATTTCCGATTCCTTTCAATGGGTATTATGAAGTTCTCTCTCTTCTCCTCTGTAGATTTTTAAGGCTTTTTGGGAACGAGAAATGGAGGAAGATTGATTTCCTTTTGAAGCTGAAGAGCCGACGCTTCACTTCGAAGTCCAACGGTCATATTTCTCTGTTCAATTTTTCCACCGTTGGATCTCTTTCAATCCAACGGTGGACAACTTCCACAAATTATAGCCGTTAGCCTACCTGTAAATAGAATGCCTGTGTTCTGTGGGCTAAAAAGGTTACCGTTCGTGTCTGCCTGTTACTAAAATATAACCTCCACTCCGATTATTTTAAGGGCGTCGCGCACTTGTTACTCCTCGTAACTTTAAATTTTGGTGCTACCTGCTATTTCTTGCAACACGTAGGCCCTTTCTCACTTTTGTTATAAATAAAATGAAATTATATATATATATATGTATATATAAAGTAAAAACACTAACTAAAACAATATCTATTCAAAAAATTAAATTAAAGAATAGGTGGTGATAAATGGAACTTATCATAATTTTTAATTAAAACATTCATTTGAATAAAATATCAAAATTCGTTTAAACATTTTGAATTTTACATATATGATCTAATTAATTAATAAATTTTAATCTTGTGTTAATTTTTATTTTGAAATTTCATCTAACCTTGTTAAAATAAAAATTTGGCCAAGTCCGGCCCTAATTGAGTTGTTGAGTTGTAAGAATCAATATTGAAGTGGATTCTACTTGGGAATATCAAAAATGGAGAGGTGCATAGAAAGCCACATATTGTAGAATTACATATTTTTTAAAGACATTTATTTAGAGGCGTCCAAACACCAAGTCCGCCAGCCTTGCCTCATTTATTTAGCATCAATTTTATACTCATTTTACAGCAGATAGCTATTATTATTATTTGTTTTGCTGCTGAATCCCTTTGCTTGGGATTATAGGCTCACTTTCTGGTCATGGCATGCCCTTGGTACCTTGGTCCTTTGGTTTTAGGGCTAATTTTACGAGGTGACAAGAAATTGGCAATTATTAGACCAATACAAATGAGAAGCAAAGCACAAATCGAGCAATCAATTAAAAACAGCCAAGTTGTTACAACTGGTGATTTAGGCAAAACAAAAAAGACTGCCTAAACAACGCAACCAAATTAGTGAAACCCAATTCCCATATTCTTTCTTCTTCTCCCTCATGCCAAACACACCGTACAATACACTCACTCACACTACCAAAACCCTCTCATTATATCACAATTGTAAACAATCTCTCAGTTAGATTTTACTTCTACATTTGATCATCTGCTCCACCCAGCATCACCTGCATTTCACAATTTCCATTTCTCAAAAAAACTTTTCCACCAAAAACAAACTAGCAGCAATGCCCCTTTAAACCTCGAATCAACTCGTTAGAGACTTTAAGTCACTTAGACCCAAATGAAATGCAAGCACAAAATAGGAGCTCATGATATGGAAAAGAATATTCATCAACATGTTATGTTTGCGACCAAAGAACACTGTATTCCTTAAGCTAAAATTTACATAATGCCTCCAGATTACATGTTCACCAACCAACAATGTGCACAAGGAACCGACAAGGGGATTTAATTTGTTTAGTAGCCTTTGATGCATAACATCTCAGGCTTTGTTTGATTGCCACTTTTCCTATTAGCTTATCGTTATTTTTTAGCTTCTTTATGCTTCCTAAAAAATTGCTAAAAAGCCAAAACAAACAGTAAAAAGTAAATTCATATTTGATCATTGCTACTAATTAAATAGTTAAAATGCAAAACTTCAAAACACTAGGAGTAAAAGTTATTTCATATCCTCTAACATCATATACCTCCTGGAGTAAAATGTAAGAAGGTAAAAAATGAACTTACACTGCAGTCAAGAGCATGCTTTCTTGCAACCATAATAGCTGCATTCCTTTCTCTCTCTGATTCAAATGTTAATACATAAGAGAGTCCTTTCCTTGGTTGCCAAAACAAAGACTTGGCCGCGGCATTACCATCACCTCTAACTCCACATAGCTTCATTAGGAAAGCAAAAATGTGAGAATGGCTACCTGCAAAAGTGCTTACTGCATAATCAATACTGAAGAAAAAAGCTCCAGAGCAACCAGAACAATTACCAGCATTGATGTTGAATATATTTCTCTGGACTTTGTTATCCATCCTCTACAGAGCTTGATCCTCATCTTTCCAACATTGAAAGCATGAGTGGAATGTGATGGATGATCTTGTCCATTGATCTGGGAAATGACTACCTAGAAGAACATGGAAAGAAAAAACTTCAATAAAAACTATATGATACAAATATTCCTACCAGTGAACTGTTACTGGTATGAAATTTTTAATGAACCAAACTACTTAATTAGACACATTCCAGCAAAATAAGACCAAATGCATAGTTACTTTCTTAACTTTCATCATATTAATTAACGGGACAAAAGTTGAGTTATAGATTCAGAAGAAGCCTTCAAGTCTATAATATTTTTTTTTCAATTATCAAATGTATTTCAGAATAAAGAATAAATTTAGTCAATAGAAAAACATTGGAAGAAGCATACAAACTTTTCAATTCAGTATGCTGAAGAAAAGATTTCTAGGACAAATTCTGCACCCAGTCAACACAATTTAAGACTTTAACCTAGCTTATAGAACCATGACTTTCAACTTAAAAATCAAAAGGTATGAAATCAACACTACAGCCATTGGATCTGATAAAACTTGATCAAAGATAGGCACTAGCTAACAATAATTTAAAACAATTGGTCACTAGCTGACTCTCTTTGTTTTCCTTACTCGTAAACAAAGCAATTAAAAAAAGTTCTCTCTCCTCTCTTTGTTACCATCCTCTTTATTTCGATTTATTATTTCCTTTGTCCTCAACAAAAACAAACAAATCATAAGCATCATCAATCAACTCATTAACTCTCAACCAAAATTGATCATGGACATAATAAGGATGGCAAACTAAATCATGTTCATGCCAAGATGGCAATTTGTAGAACTTTGGCAATTAGAAGTAAGAGACGACAGACAGATCCAAATGCACATTTTAAACATGCTTATTGCTATCTGCAACCACGTATGTAGGTGGACAAAGTGGCAAGAACTATCTAACAAAAATAAGCAGAATTATCACTTTGGAATACATGAAGATTCTTTGTTTCTTTTTTCTAGTGCCAAAAGAAGAGAGTACTATGACTCAAACCTAGAAGCTTTGCCTGTCCCTACTTTCCAAGCACTTGAGCCAAGCCAATGTGGCAAATGCTCAAAATTTACACCATCCTCCCCCATCGCCATAGAGGAATAAAAGATTCAAATAAAGTTATCAGGCACCACTGCTGAGAGACCAGAATAATATAATTACGCTCATTTACTACCAAAAAATCACATATAGAGAAAGACCATATTATCACTAATGGACAAATTTGATAGGAGAAACACAAAACCAGTAGCCTTGTCTTTGGCAGCACAGCAAAGAGATGATAGTAGAAGTAAACTAACAGGAAAGAAGCAAACGTACATTAAATTCACTGCTGGATTTTCGCAAAAGTGTCTCCACATAGCCTCCCAAACCTGCAGCTGTAAAAGTAAGATTTTCTAAGCATCAATATAAAATGCCAGGCAGAAGAGATTCAATCATTAACATGTATGAATATTAACATTAAATAATTAGGCCCATAGCTTAAATGCTGGCATCAAAATTTTGAAAGAGAACAAACATTTTATAAGTCAAATTGTACATTTTGACGTAAACTAACCAGAACCAATAGGACCGGAAGTTGTCACTGTGACTTTTTGGCCATTTGAGAGAATGTCAACCAGCAAAATTCGACCAACATCAAGGGGTTCTGGGGCATACATTATTTTATTGGCACCTGATGATGTAGAAAATTGAACCAGTTAATAGAATAGGTTGTAATGTAAATGTCACAGGTTATTAATCAACAATGCATTTTTAACCCATTCAATTGAGGAATTAAACATTCTGACGAGAGTTAGATTCTTATACTTGATCAGACACAAGCGAAGTATGATAGCAGTAGTTTTTTCAATTCGTGGCCCTATGCACCTAACTTAGACGTATATCACTACTTACAGAAGGATGAATGAGCACCCAAATGAATTAACAGGGCCACGACATTTTACATAGGTGGGATACTTATAAAGTTATGTAGCGCTCGATGGCAGAAATTCACATAAGCAGAAATAGAGAACACATGGACATCTGGTATAGTTTAGTGCAATTAAATGCACATTAAATCACTTTCCTCATACAAATTAGGATACCTTTCTAAATCTGCCTGTATGTCATTTGTGTGTCCAGGTACTCTTACAATTATTTTCTTTTGATAACAATTAACAACCAATTCACAACAGTAAAGGATTTCATGATACCAGCTTAGAAGCAGTATTCATACAATAACCCAAGTGTTCAAGGCATTATCTCAAACGGCCATATGTTCATTAAGTTTTCATATTACAACACTTCTCTCAATTACAAATGGAATTTGTTTCAAAAATTTAATAGGTATTTAGTTTAGGATAATTAGTATCATCTACAATAACGCAGGTGACACTTCAGTAGAAAACCCTAGATAGAAAGTTCACCATAATGGTATCTTTTATGAACATAATTAACTGAGACATGACTTGCATGTAAAAGAACATTCACAGAATGGATACCTGAAATTATTTCCTGTTGATTTCTGTCAGATGACATTCGATACCACTGAATTGAAGATTTTGAAAGCACTGGAGCATTATCTGAGCAAGGCTGGAGTCGTAAGCATGAACCAAGGGTTTCAGAACCATGCAAAGTATATACACGGGATTTGTTCTCCTCAGCCTTCTTGTTTAGTGCCAGCTGCAATTATTCAGGACTAGATTAGAACCTCATAAAATATCACAAACCAGACTACGCATTCCACTCACCATTTGAGGCTTGATTGGTACCATGAAGAAATAACATACCATGAAAGAGACAGTCACTGCAATAATTAACAAGGAAATATATCTTAAAACTAACCAAGGACCTTGTTGGAAGCAAAAAGTTGTTGGAGACTTATTAAGCATTAGCTACCAACATCCAGGCACCT